CCGCCAATTCATTTTTTGATCCAATCGAGCCAGATTGGCCCAGCGCCCGAAATTGCTCAAGATAAGTACGAAGATCTACATACATATATTAATTTGCCGGTCTGCAGTCAGCCACTCGAAAACACTGTTTCGTTTGACTTTCTGCATGATTTTTTCTAAAAATCCAAGTCCGATTTAATCCGAAAACGGCAATTATTAAGATCTATTCCATTTTCCGTTTTTCTTTGATCGTGCCGCCATATTCCTCCAATTCCTCTTTGGCCCGTACATCAAAGTGAAACCGTACACATATGTATGTACATACAAGTATACAGCCATGGACAGATAAATAGCACAAATGGTTAAAGAGAACTTTCCTTCATGTTATTCCGTTATTAAGCAAGCTTTTTTTTGGAATATTGGATTCCAATTATTTCAGCAACTATGCTTATCAAAACGAGCCATCAATTATTCCGTTATGTTTTGTCTTTGCTTTGTTATTCTTATTTGATCTTAACAACCCACATTTTAAGTGGTCACTTAAATAGCACACGTTGGTTTAACAAGTTCTTCTCAAGGTGTAAATAATTAATATTGTTTGTTTTTCGTTATAATTATCTAAATTGGTTGTTAATTTACCTATTCTTGAAAAAAAATGGGCCGAGGAATTCATTGCACTCCCGAAAAAAGGACCCTTATTGATAAACTTAGGCAAACCGGCAAAACCGTTGCTGAAATTGCAAAAATAATGGAGTGTTCCAGGAAAATGATTTATAATGCCCTTAAATTAGTTGAGCAGAGTAAGGACTACTTGATCAAAAACAAAATTCGAAAGAATCGTCCTCGAAAAACGACTGTACATGTTGATCGTATCATAGTGCGGAAGAGCAAACGGGATCCTTTTTTATCTTCTCGCGAAATTGGAAAAGATATAAATGAAGAATTCAATCTAAATGTGTCCAGAAAACTTATTTCAAGAAGGTTGAATGAGGCAAAACTCTTTGGACGCATCAGCAGGAAGAAACCATACCTCACAAAGAGCCACATTAAGAAACGCTTGACATTTGCAAAAGCCCACAGGAACAAGCCAGTGAGTTTTTGGAAAAACGTGCTTTGGAGTGATGAAACAAAAATAAATAGAGTCGGACCCGATGGAAAAACCATTGTTCGTCGCCCTAAGTGCCAAGCCCTCAACCCCAGATATACCACTAAAACCATTAAACATGGAGGAGGCAAAATTATGGTTTGGGGTGCGTTTTCCTGGCATGGCGTTGGCCCAATTGTCCGAATTAAGGGCCTAATGGATCGGTTCCAATATTTAGATATCCTGCAGAAGGAAATGGAACCATTTGCATTTGAAAATATGCCAGTTACGTGGACGTTTATGCAAGACAACGATCCAAAGCATACAGCCAAAATCGTTAAGAAATGGCTGCAGGACGAGAAGGTCAATGTTATGGACTGGCCGGCACAAAGCCCTGACCTAAATCCAATAGAAAACCTCTGGCATTTAGTGAAATCTCAAATTTCTAATAAACAATTTAAAAATTTGGATGATTTGTGGGCAGGAGTCCAGGCAGCTTGGACATCTATCCCCAAGGATACATGTCAAAAGCTGGTGGAAAGTATGAACCGTAGGTGTGAAGAGGTGATACGCAATAAAGGATTCAGCACCAAATATTGAAAAAAAAAACCCTTCAGTTCCTGCAAAAACATTTTTTCTTAAAGTTGTGCTATTTATGTGTCCACACATTTTAAAGGCACTTCTACAAAAATTGCTGTGAAAATTTTTTAGTCGTTTAAAAATTCGCTTTTGTTTAACAATTAGTTAGTCTACTCTATATAGTACAGAATCAATATTTTCTTAATAATTTTGTATATACTTTTCAATAAAATTTTGTATATTTCATCTTTTTGTGTGATTTGTGCTATTTATCTGTCCATGGCTGTACATACATCAAATGAGCAAAATTCCAAAACTTTAATAAAGAGCTAAAATTGCAAACTTTAATAAAAAGTGCAAATTCCGAAATTGAATAAAAGTGAAAAATCCAAAAATTAGGAACAAGTGTAAAGTGTGCAAAATATTCGAAGTGAACAGTGAAGAAATAATTTCTGTGAAAAAATTCCAAGTGTTCTGCCGAAAAAGAGCCCCCAATTTCAAAGTGTTTTTTTTTTTTTTTTCACTGCAGTCCTACGCTAAATATTTTGCACACCTTTTCTTGCAATACAGTCCACTTAATTAAAATCGAAAGCTCAACACATACCCGCCGGCAATATTTTTTAATAAATTTTCCGCCAAAAAAAATACATACATACATACATATATCTCCAAATATATTCCATATACTCCATACATATTTTCTACTTCCTACAGCGAAAATATACCAACATTAAAAGTTTTCCGTCGGCCTCCGTGTAGAATAAAATAAATAATTACAATCCACCACCGACTCGGAAAACTATGTTGGTTGCAGTGTGTTTTATTTCTAACATTTTTTGGCGTGAGCGCGAACTGCACAAACGCACATATATACACTTATGTATATCCAAATCCAGCATACCAATATACACATATACACCCATACCCATTAGGGAGCCGTTGCACGACATCCAGTGCAAGGTCTTTAACATATAAAATTTTTCCAAAGACAAAATAAATTATTTCTGAGCTGCAATAAATAAATTCCAACTCCAATAACAACACATAATTAATATTCCAGTCAAATTAAAATTAAAAATTCCAAAATAATTGGAAATTAATTTTTTTATTATTTGATTTGTTTTTTTTGTCCAGCAACATACAATAATTAAAAAAAAAAAAAAATTATTCCTTTGTCTGGTTCCAAAAAATTTAAGTGTGAACGTCACTCCGTACGACACACCGTTTGTTGATAGCTCAGAAATTAAATATTTGCAAATAAATTATTTTGGATAAATAATTAACTTCCATTCTTCGAATAAACTACCCGTTTTGGTTTTTTTTGTCTTTACCACAGTTGGTATTATTTTCTAAAATAAAGTAAATAAATACCACACAAAATAATAATCACATATCCGTATTATAAATATAATAATTATAATATTCTTAATAACATTAAGAATAAATATTATTTAATTATTCTGGGTTTTTTTCGCTCCTGTGCATATTAAATATACCCCGTTTCCACTGGGCATATATTCCTTTTTAATTTATCGTCGCTTCCATAGACCGTCTCCCTTTAGCGAGACAAATTCCACAAGTCAGCTAAATACAAATTTTTTCAAGAGTGCAATTCCAGCAACAAAGGTCTAAAATTTGTTTCTCACGACCAGCACACTCGTTTTCCAACCGAGGGTTCGTTTTTTGGCATGTCCAGTGAAGGTGGGAATAAGAAATCTCCCATTCCACCAACAAAAACTCCGAAAATTGTTGTCAAGCCGCCCACACCTAAACCTTCCAGTAAGACTCCCTCTCCCCAAGCAAGGCTCACTCGTTCCGAGACAAAAATGGCTCTAGCTGCGTCCGATCTTGCGCTGAATCAATTTATTGAGGTTTCAGATCGACTCAGTGAATTCGAAGCGAGATGCAACACTCCGTCGCCGACTCCCCCCGAGCATGTCCATGCTAAACATCCGACGCGAAGAGGTCCGAGCATTGTGGGAGCGCATCAAAAAAGAGTACGATGAGTGCAATGTACGCCTGATTTCAGCCGGAGACAGTGCAGCTGACAGCTTGCCAATTCTCCGAGCGAAATATAATTATTGCTACGGCGTCTACGAAAGGTGTGGTGCGAATATAGAGGATCTTATTGCGCAAGCTCCACGAACCCCCCAAACACAAGCTGATCCGTCCCAGACCTACGTTCGTTCAGGTTGTCGGCTACCTCCGTGTGATACCGAGGTCTTCACCGGCGATTATCTTCGCTGGCCGACGTTTAGGGACCTTTTCACGGCGATCTATATTAACAATCCAAGATTGACGCCGGTCGAGAAATTGTTCCACCTGAATTCCAAAACGAGTGGCGAAGCACACACAATTGTGGCAAAGTCGCCTTTAACTAACGATGGTTTTCGCTCAGCCTGGGATAACCTAACTAAGCGTTTCGAAAACAAACGATTGTTAGTAAACAGTCATTTGAAAATACTGTTCAATGTGCAGTCCATCACTCAGGAATCTGGGCCAGCTTTGCGAGAGCTTCAAGACACCATTCAGAGTTGCCTTACCGCAATGGAAACGAGTGATATTAGCACCGACAATTGGGATTGCCTATTAGTTTATATGGTCTCCGCCAAACTTCCAAAGTTGACACTTTCCCTCTGGGAGCAGTCGCTCCACAACAAGGTCGATGTTCCCACGTGGCAGGAGTTAAATAACTTCCTCACTGAGCGTCACAGGACACTAGAGGCCATAGATGATGCCTTCCATACTCCTAAGCGGCACCCGAGCAAACGTCTGTGGCTTTCTTCTTGGTCAAGAGACCATATTCGGTTGGATCCTTACCGGACCAATACCAGCTGCTAGGCAAGAGTAAATTTCCGCTTTCTCCACTCGAATCTCCCATATATTTGATTCAAACCTGGATCAACTTCTCACCAAGTTTTGGGAGGTGGAGGATCTGCCAATAAAAATGGCAAAAGATTCCGATTTGGCGTGTGAGGAAAATTTCCTCCGGACAACCACGAGAGACTTTAGTGGAAAATATATCGTACACCTTCCATTCCGTGATCCAGAGAACGTAAAGTCCGCCCTGGGACACTCCAGATCCTTCGCGTTGGCTCAATTCTTAAGAAACGAGCAGCGTTTAAAAAGGGATAGCCAACAGAAAATGAAGCACTTGAAAGCGCTCCATCAGCAATTCCGCGCTCGATGGAAGGATGAATACCTGAAAGAGCTCCACAAGCGCAACAAGTGGAAGTGTGCAACCGAGAATATGCGTGTCGGGGACATGATCGTCATCAAAGACGACAATCTGCCCTCAAATGAGTGGCGACTCGGTAGAATCGACTCCGTCTTTCCTGGAGCCGATGGCAATGTCCGCTTAGTCGACATCCGGACGGCGCGAGGCATTGTCCGGCGTCCAGTAGCCAAAATTGTTCTCCTTCCCGGAGAGGCTCCCCAAACTTCTACCCAGTAATCCATACTTCGTTGTCCGTAAGGCCCGAATCTTTCCATTATAAAACATCTTCCTGTGTTCGTCGAGGGAGCTGCGTTGGATGTCGTCCTAAAGATCGAACCCGGCGTCGGCGTCCGCACCCCCATCCGAGCGATCGACGAGTCTGTCGTCGGCCGCTACAAGGACCTTCCGCTGGCCGACAAGCGGTTCTATCTGCCGGCGTCGATTTCCATGGTCCTGGGTGCGGATGTCTACGCCAAGGTCATCCAACCAGGATTCCACCTGGTCGCCGAGGGATTGCCGGTGGCCCAGATGACCATCTTCGGCTGAATCCTGTCCGGCGCCTGCAACCAGGGCTAATTATGTTGCAACGCCAGCGGTTGCAAGGGGGGGCGGAATGTTCAGGCCTCTCCCGCTCTCCCTCTCCCGGAGCTTCTCCCCACACCGCACTCTCCCTCTCCCGAAGCTTGGAGCATGTCGCGCTCGGCCATCCAGGCTCTCCACTCCCCGAGCGCGAGAAGTCTCCGCTGCGCCTCCAAGCGCCTAGCTTAGAATAGCTTAAATTAGTTCCAATACGTCACCGCTTGAATAAACGCCCGGCCGGTCCGCGCTATACCCGAAATTTTAAAGTTTTTTTTATTCCCACCTTCACTGGACATGCCAAAAAACGAACCCTCGGTTGGAAAACGAGTGTGCTGGTCGTGAGAAACAAATTTTAGACCTTTGTTGCTGGAATTGCACTCTTGAAAAAATTTGTATTTAGCTGACTTGTGGAATTTGTCTCGCTAAAGGGAGACGGTCTATGGAAGCGACGATAAATTAAAAAGGAATATATGCCCAGTGGAAACGGGGTATATTTAATATGCACAGGAGCGAAAAAAAACCCAGAATAATTAAATAATATTTATTCTTAATGTTATTAAGAATATTATAATTATTATATTTATAATACGGATATGTGATTATTATTTTGTGTGGTATTTATTTACTTTATTTTAGAAAATAATACCAACTGTGGTAAAGACAAAAAAACCAAAACGGGTAGTTTATTCGAAGAATGGAAGTTAATTATTTATCCAAAATAATTTATTTGCAAATATTTAATTTCTGAGCTATCAACAAACGGTGTGTCGTACGGAGTGACGTTCACACTTAAATTTTTTGGAACCAGACAAAGGAATAATTTTTTTTTTTTTTAATTATTGTATGTTGCTGGACAAAAAAAAAAACAAATCAAATAATAAAAAAATTAATTTCCAATTATTTTGGAATTTTTAATTTTAATTTGACTGGAATATTAATTATGTGTTGTTATTGGAGTTGGAATTTATTTATTGCAGCTCAGAAATAATTTATTTTGTCTTTGGAAAAATTTTATATGTTTAAGACCTTGCACTGGATGTCGTGCAACGGCTCCCTAATGGGTATGGGTGTATATGTGTATATTGGTATGCTGGATTTGGATATACATAAGTGTATATATGTGCGTTTGTGCAGTTCGCGCTCACGCCAAAAAATGTTAGAAATAAAACACACTGCAACCAACATAGTTTTCCGAATCGGTGGTGGATTGTAATTATTTATTTTATTCTACACGGAGGCCGACGGAAAACTTTTAATGTTGGTATATTTTCGCTGTAGGAAGTAGAAAATATGTATGGAGTATATGGAATATATTTGGAGATATATGTATGTATGTATGTATTTTTTTTGGCGGAAAATTTATTAAAAAATATTGCCGTCGGGTATGTGTTGAGCTTTCGATTTTAATTAAGTGGACTGTATTGCAAGAAAAGGTGTGCAAAATATTTAGCGTAGGACTGCAGTGAAAAAAAAAAACCACTTTGAAATTGGGGGCCCTTTTTCGGCAGAACACTTGGAATTTTTTCACAGAAATTATTTCTTCACTGTTCACTTCGAATATTTTGCACACTTTACACTTGTTCTTAATTTTTGGATTTTTCACTTTTATTCAATTTTGGAATTTGCACTTTTTATTAAAGTTTGCAATTTTAGCTCTTTATTAAAGTTTGGAATTTTGCTCATTTGATGTATGTATACTTGTATGTACATACATATGTGTACGGTTTCACTTTGATGTACGGGCCAAAGAGGAATTGGAGGAATATGGCGGCACGATCAAAGAAAAACGGAAAATGGAAGAGATCTTAATAAATGCCGTTTTCGGATTAAATCGGACTTGGATTTTTAGAAAAAATCATGCAGAAAGTCAAACGAAACAGTGTTTTCGAGTGGCTGACTGCAGACCGGCAAATTAATATATGTAGATCTTCGTACTTACCTTGAGCAATTTCGGGCGCTGGGCCAATCTGGCTCGATTGGATCATCGGACTTGGATTTTTAGAAAAAATCATGCAGAAAGTCAAACGAAATGAAGTGGCGGGGCGTCCAACGTTGAAGGCAGCAACTCCTGTGGTCAGCGACGGCTGGCGGTGTTAGCTGTGGGGGCAAGAAATAACACACTCGGCGATCGCGAAAATAAAAGAACTTGGAAATTTCGGGTATAGCGCGGACCGGCCGGGCGTTTATTCAGTGCGTTGACGTATTGGAACTAACTTAAGCTATTCTAAGCTAGGCGCTTGGAGGCGCAGCGGAGACTTCTCGCGCTCGGGGAGTGGAGAGCCTGGACGGCCGAGCGCGACATGCTCCAAGCTTCGGGAGAGGGAGAGTGCGGTGTGGGGAGAAGCTCCGGGAGAGGGAGAGCGGGAGAGGCCTGAACATTCCGCCCCCCTTGCAACCGTTGGCGTTGCAACATAATTAGCCCTGGTTGCAGGCGCCGGACAGGATCCAGCCGAAGATGGTCTTCTGGGCCACCGGCAATCCCTCGGCGACCAGGTGGAATCCTGGTTGGATGACCTTGGCGTAGACATCCGCACCCAGGACCATGGAAATCGACGCCGGCAGATAGAACCGCTTGTCGGCCAGCGGAAGGTCCTTGTAGCGGCCGACGACAGACTTGTCGATCGCTCGGATGGGGGTGCGGACGCCGACGCCGGGTTCGATCTTTAGGACGACATCCAACGCAGCTCCCTCGACGACCTTCGATCGGAGGATCGCCGTGCACACCCTTTCCTTTCCGACATTGGTGGTCGGCAGACGAAGGCTGGACGCCAGGGTGGCGTCGATGCAGCTTTGAGGCGAGCAGGGGTCTATGAGAGCCACGGTGTCCACGATCTTCGGACCCGCCTCCAGGGTGACCAAAGCCGTTGGAAGGACGTTGACGACGTGGTGTTGAAGGAGAGTTGCCGACAAGAAAGTGCCCTGGTGTCAACGCTAGAAGATCAGTGGGATCCTTTGACATGGGAGATAGCGGTCTGGAATTTAGACAAGCTTCAATCTTCGCTAGCAGAGTGGCAAGTTCTTCAAAGGTGTATTTCCGCGTAACTGTGCATTTATAAAACAATGCCTTGAAGCTCTTGACACCAGCTTCCCATAGGCCTCCCATATGGGGTGCTCCTGGCGGAATGAAATGCCAGTCGAGCTGCTGACGACTGCACTTGGCGAGGACACCCTCTTCTGGAGACGAACCGAGCGAATGGCGCAAGAAATTTCTCGGTCGTCAGATCTGAAGTAGGCTCCAAATGGATAGCCTTGGTGGAGAAGCAAACGAAAACCAACACATACCCTTTAGTAATAAGGCAGGCTCTGCCAGTGTAATTCTTTAAGTCGAAGGGCCCTGCGTAGTCCATACCCGTGTACGTGAATGGACGGGAGAATGACACTCGTTCTCTTGGCAAATTTCCCATCATCTGACTTTGCAATCGCTTTTTGTAGATCACGCAGACCTTGCAGGCATTGATAACTGCCTTCACCAAGTTTTTAACTCTCGGAACCCAATATCTGGAACGGGTGAGACGTACCACCAACTGATTACCCCCGTGTAGCGTAATGAGATGGGTGAACTTTACCAGAAGCCGAGAGAGTGAACATTCGTACGGGAGGATTATCGGGTGTCGTTCATCGTAACGCAAACTTTCAGAGGCTGTGACACGGCCACATGCCCTTATCAGCCCCTCCTGATCTAGGAAAGGGTTTAAGGAGAGGATCGAACTGGAAGGGGGCCCCGGAAGCTTCTGACTCAAACAGCGATACTCGTTCGTTAAATACCTGCGCTGAGTGCAGAGAATCATGAGCCGTTCGGCGGCGACAAGTTCCTTGGCCTCCAGACGGATCTCTGAAAGCGGCGATTGTTTCTTGCACCGATTGATAAAACGCTGGACATACGCGAGGACCCGCAACGCTCTATCCAATTTGGAAAAACGATCAAGGAAGTCTTCGTTCGGAATATATGCTACGTGGGCTTTGACTGCTCGCTTTTCGATCTCGGTCACGGGAAGGTCGGTCCCCTGGCTAGGCCATTGGCTGCGTGGCTTTTGCAACCAAGTGGGTCCATGCCACCAGAGAGAACTACCGACAAGCTCCGGAAGGGCTACCCCGGGATTATGTTCGGATTGAACGTGTGACCAGTTGGCTGCCTCTGTGGACTGAGTGATCTTCGTCACTCTGTTGGCAACGAAAGTAGTCCAATGGCATGCTGGTTTTGCTAACCATGCCAACACAATGGTGGAATCGGTCCAGCAGTGGAGACTCGAATTCAGCATCGGCATGCTGGGAAGGATCGCTTCAGCCATTTCGGCTAGCAGTAAAGCTCCGCACAGCTCTAGGCGAGGAAGCGACACAGTTTTGACTGCCGCAACACGCGTCTTGGCGGTAAGCAGGTGTACCATCGTGGTATGTCCCATCTCTACGCGCACGTAGATCGCTGCGCCGTAGGCTTTCTGCGAGGCATCACAAAATCCATGATGCTCTAAGCGGAATTCTGGGCGAAAGGAAACCCATCTTGGAATCCGGACCTGATCAAGGACCGAATAGCTCTGAAGAAAACTGTGCCACCTTTGGCACAACTCAGATGGCAGCTTGTCGTCCCACCCCAGCTCCTGAAGCCAAATCTCTTGCATAAAGATCTTGGCACACACAACAAATGGAGCGAGCCAGCCTGCTGGATCAAACAGTTTGGCAATTTGGGAAAGCACCTGGCGTTTTGTGGGGGAGATTTCTGTGGGTAGATCTGGGGGGACGAAGAAAAACGCATCGGACGTCGCTCTCCACCGTACACCGAGAGTCTTGGCTGTACTTTCAGTGTCGGATCAAGGAAATCGCTGTTCAGAAGATGACCGGCTTGGATATGAGCTAACACCTCTTTGTTGTTGGACGTCCATTTTCTTAACGGAAAGCCCGCGGAGTCTAGGGCACTCTGTAACTCCTTTATTGTGAGCTGAGCATCTTCAGCAGAGTCAGCTCCCGAAAGGACATCGTCTACATACATTGCATTACGAATGACTTTGCTCGCTCTTGGATGGCTGAGCTGCACGTCAGTCGCCAGCTGTTGTAGGACTCGTATCGCCAGGAAGGGCGCACAATTAATCCCGAAAGTTACCGTCTTTAACTCAAAATCTCGAATGTACCCCTCGCTGTTTCGGAATAAAATGCGTTGGAACGGGGTATGCTTCGGGTCTACCCAGATCTGTCGATACATTTTCTCGATATCGGCACTGTAAACGTATCGGAAATACCGCCACTTCAGAATTTGAATGGTCAGATCGGACTGTAAGACCGGGCCAGCATGAAGGATATCATTTAGACTGACCCCATTGTCTGAAGGGCTGGAGGCATTGAACACCACACGAAGCTTGGTGGTCGTACTTTCCGGCTTGAGCACGGCATGATGCGGAAGATAATAACTCGCAGAATCATGGGTAGGAAAGACCTCTTTCATGTGGTTGAGATCGAGATATTCTTGAATGACGGTATCGTACTTCATTTTCTGTTGGCTGTCCCTTTTTAAACGCTGCTCGTTTCTTAAGAATTGAGCCAACGCGAAGGATCTGGAGTGTCCTAGGGCGGACTTTACGTTCTCTGGATCACGGAATGGAAGGTGTACGATATATTTTCCACTAAAGTCTCTCGTGGTTGTCCGGAGGAAATTTTCCTCACACGCCAAATCGGAATCTTTTGCCATTTTTATTGGCAGATCCTCCACCTCCCAAAACTTGGTGAGAAGTTGATCCAGGTATGAATCAAATATATGGGAGATTTGAGTGGAGAAAGCGGAAATTTGCTCTTGCCTAGCAGCTGGTATTGGTCCGGTAAGGATCCAACCGAATATGGTCTCTTGACCAAGAAGAGAGCCACAGACGTTTGCTCGGGTGCCGCTTAGGAGTATGGAAGGCAGCAGATCAGCCCCGATTAACACGTCTATTTGTGCACTCTCATAGAATTTCGGGTCTGCCAAAGCAAATTCGGGAAGTTCCCGTAGGAAATGCTGCGGAATTGAGCAGGACGGAAGTTGACCAGCTAATTGCGGAAGGACATACGCCGTCGCGTCTAGTTGCAGGCCAGGCCTGGTCGGAGATCGAATTGAAAATTGGCAGAGCTTTTTGGACTCTGCTGCCAGTGTTTGGCTTAAGCCGGAGACTTGGGCTCGAATGATCTGATGAGGCAACTTAATCAAGTTGAACAGCCGCTCCGATCCAGAGTCGATCAAGGCCCGAGCCTTGAAGGTTGATCCCAAATGGCAAACGTCAATAATGGCGGTGCCCAGCAAGACGGATCTATGACCCGTGGCAAGATAATTTTGCACCGTGGAGGTTGCGGCACTGGCAGTCGCTGGAGCGGTCGTAGTTGGTCTTGACCTGGGCGAAGAAGTTGGAGTTGGAGTCGAGAGCGTTGGAGACGCGTTACCTCGATGGAGAAGCGTGTGATGGCGGCCGCGGCACGTGAAGCAACTATGAGTGCTGTCACAGTCCCGTAGCTGATGTCCTCGTGCAAAGCAGTTCAGACACAGCTTTTTGCCTTTGATATACGCGGACCGCTCATCGACAGACATCCGGAGAAACCGTGCGCATGTCCGCACTGGATGGTTTTCTCGATTGCACAAGTCGCACCCTCTACCTCTGGGTACTACTCTTGCTTCAAAGGAGTGGATTCTGCGTGCCGTGGAATTAGAGGCTGCCGCTCTGGGCTGAGGCTGACTAGAGCCTGACGGACGGACATCATCTATGGCCTCTAGTGTCCTGTGACGCTCAGTGAGGAAGTTATTTAACTCCTGCCACGTGGGAACATCGACGGGCGCAGTGCCCGGACGGGGCCTGTATCATTGGAAAGTCATGCCTTTCGGGCTACATTCTGCGCCTGCGACGTTTCAGCGGGCGTTGGACGGTGTCATCGGACCTGAGATGGACCCCCATGCGTTCGCGTATCTCGACGACATTATTGTCGTTAGCAAAACCCTCGAGGAACACATGCAACACCTACGGGAGGTACTTCGCCGGCTGCGAGCCGCAAATCTGAAACTCAACCGGGCTAAATGTAAATTTTTCCAGCGAAGCATCGTGTACCTAGGACATCAGATCAACGAGGATGGCATTCATACCGACCCGGAGAAAATAGCCGCTATACAGGCCCTTCAACCACCGTCATCGATCAAGGAGCTGAGGAGATGCCTTGGTATCGCCTCATGGTACCGGCGATTTGTACCAAACTTCACCAACATTGTGCAGCCGATGACCAAACTGTTGAAGAAGAGCCAGAAGTGGACCTGGGAGGCGGACCAGCAACGAGCGTTCGAGGAATTGAAATGCAAGCTATCAGAAGCACCCGTTTTAGCTTGCCCGGACTTCGAGCAAAAATTCACAGTGCAGACGGTTGCAAGCGATTTCGGATTAGGAGCAGTGTTGACGCAGCAGATCGAAGGCCGAGAGCGGGTCATCGCGTACGCCAGCCGACGACTGTCAACGGCCGAGGGAAACTATTCCACGACAGAGAAGGAATGCCTGGCAATCGTGTGGGCAGTGCGCAAATTTCGATGCTACCTCGAGGGATACCACTTCGATGTGGTCACCGATCATCTGGCGTTAAAATGGCTCAACGCTATCGAGAACCCCACCGGTCGCATAGCTCGCTGGGCCTTGGAGCTGCAACAATATCGCTTTGACGTACGTTATCGACGAGGAAACCAGAACGTCGTCGCCGACGCACTCTCACGGCAACCACTGGAACGACTACAACAGGCCATCACGGAACAACGCCCCTGCGCATACATAGATAGGATGCGGACGAGGATCGCTGAGGAGCCGGCCAACTACCCCGAGTACGCACAAGAGAACGATCAGCTGTACCGACGCTTTGGAAACCGACCAGAGGAGGAAGACTACATTCCTTGGAAGCTGTGCGTGCCCCAGCCACTTCGAGCGCGCATTTTGAAGCAGTGTCACGACCAACCAGCAGCGGGACACATGGGAATCCGGAAAACGGCCAGGCGGATCATGCAGAGGTACTATTGGCCTGGACTTTTCCGCGACGTGGTCAGGTATGTCCGCAGGTGCGAAACTTGCCAGAAATTCAAAGCCAGCCAGCTGAAACCACCGGGACAGACGTTCACCCGCGTGGTGGCGGAGCCGTTCGACACGCTGTGCGCCGATTTCGTGGGACCTTTGCCTCGGTCCACCCATGGCAACACGATGTTGCTGGTCTTCTTCGACGCTTTCAGCAAGTGGGTCGAACTTGTTCCCCTTCGCAAGGCGACTACGGCTCACCTTTCGCGGTCATTCCGCGAACGAATCTTGGCCAGATTCGGGGTGCCCAAGACGTTTGTCTGCGACAATGACACACAGTTTACCAGTAGAGCATTCAAGGAGTTTGCCAAACAACTTGGTATGAACATCCAACACACCGCCCCGTACTCGCCGCAGCAGAACCCCACGGAGCGCGCCAATAGGACTGTCAAGACGATGATCGCGCAATACATCGATGAGCGCGAGTGCCTGCGATCTCACCGAGGACGCAGAGACCCATCCACCCCAACCATACACAGTAGAGGTCGTGGATATCAGCGACGACGAGGACGACGAGGATGACGAGATCCCTCGTGGCGCGGGGCCCGTCCACAATGATCCCCCACCAGCGTACGGGTCGGTAGCAACCAACGAAGAACCACCGCCAGCCTATGGATCCTGGGAGGGATTCCAAGAGCCCGAGATCGCCGCGCCGGTAACCCCAGCCACATCGACCACCGAGGGCACTCGGGCAGAAAATCCCATCTTTGGCTGCGTCGCCCGAAGGACGCTCTTGGAAGGTGAATCCGCCCGATGTCTGCGTATGGACGTGGATGAAGATGGCCCCTGAACCTCGGCCGAAGCTCAGCGGCGGGAGGGAGCCCGACAGACGCAGCGTGCAACAAACGACGCGGCGAGGGACAACGCTGAACACGCCCGGATGCCACCCGGGGAGTCCACTCCGTCCCGACCACCCAGACCCACCACCCACCGAACGCACCAAAGCGAATGGGTACCAATCCCAGCCGCCTGGAGGATGCACCTCGCTAAACCCCACCGGATACCCCGGCGCGTGCTGGAGAGGTTGCAAGCACGAGTTGCCCGCAACCGAGGTCGCAACATTCGGGTGCTGGAGTCCGGGAACGGACAGGACTACTGGGTGAGGATCAACACGAAGAATGAAGTCACCATCTCCTTACGCCCGACGAAGTAAGGGGGGGGGGGGTGTGACGCCCCAATTTGGGCCCCACAATCTGAACATGTATATATTTTTCTTATTTTCTTCTTAGAGTTAAGGCCATAATTAGTAGAAATAAGCCATGAAGTTTCTCATTATTTTTGTTATTTTAATAAATAAGGCTAAGCTAAGTACAAATCAAATGAGCATCACTAGGCAGCAAGGGGCGGGCAGAGAACGACAGAACAAGAGAACATGAACTTGACCTAGAAAACGACAAAACGAGAGAACAACCAAAATCTAAGCTACGACGCAATTGCGTGGACCGACGCAGGCACCGAGCAGAGGCCAGCGCAAGCATCGACCAGCCGAGCAGAGGGCAGCGGCACGGGCCCCGAAACCCGGAAAAGGCTACGACGCAATTGCGTAGACCGGCGCAGGCACCGATCGCCCGAGCAGAGGGCGACAGAGCGCACTTACACTAAGAAAATGCAGGCCCCGCTCGGGCGAGCATAGGGCAGCCAAGTGGGAGAGAGTGCATACAAAGTAATTACGACTCAATAAAATATGTCGCCGGTCATGCGAGCAGAGGGCGGCCGAGCGAGAGAGAGGACATGCACAATTATTACGACGCATTAGAATATGCAAAGCGCCGATTGTGCGAGCAGAGGACTGCTGCAGAACGCATTAACTTTGGCGGCTGATGAGTTTCGGCGAGAGCAATGAATTAATTATCTTCGAGGATCGGTCGCGACCACACGCATTGTTCGGCACCCGTACGACACGGCTCTGCGCTACCTACCACGTGTCAGACGCTTCGCGAGTACCGGGAAAAGTTAACCACACTTCGCACGCCTCGCACACCTCGCCCACCTCGCGCACCTCGCCCACCTCGCCCACCTCGCACACCTCGCACACCTCCCCTCTCCCACGTGGAACCCGGTGATCGCAGCCAGGCGACAAGCCTCTGCTCCCGCTTGCGTGCCACGCCCCTCTCCCACGTGGAACCCGGTGACCGCAGCCAGGCGTCCAGCCTCTGCTCCCGCTTGCGTGCCACGCCCCTTTCCCTACCCCACGTGGAACCCGGTGACCGCAGCCAGGCGACAAGCCTCTGCTCCCGCTTGCGTGCCACGCCCCTCTCCCACGTGGAACCCGGTGATCGCAGCCAGGCGACAAGCCTCTGCTCCCGCTTGCGTGCCACGCCCCTCTCCCACGTGGAACCCGGTGACCGCAGCCAGGCGTCCAGCCTCTGCTCCCGCTTGCGTGCCACGCCCCTTTCCCTGCCCACGTGGAAACCCGGTGACCGCAGCC